GAGGTTTCCACTAAGACACAGGGAAAGAACATTCCAGGTGGAGGCAAGGGCTGATGCCAAAGCCCTGAGATGAGCACATACCAGGCAGGTGTGAGGAGCAAGAACAAGAACATGTCTGGAGAGACGAGGGGCAGGGGAGAGTAGGAGGAGATGAAAGGGGACCTAGGGGAGGTTCAGAGGAGCCAAGAGGAAGGATTGAGTTTTTACTCAGAATGACGCCGGATATTCAGGAGGGTTCCGAACAGAGGTGTGGCGGGACCTGACCTTTGGTCCTGTATGATCGCTGGCTGCCATGTTGAGCACAGACAGCAGTTAGGCTACCGCAAGAATGGAGGCGAGAGATGACAGTGGCTTGTATAAAACGAACGCTGTGAGGGTGCTGGGAAGTGGCAGGCTTCTGCAGCATGTTGAGGAGAGAATACTCTGGTTTGTTAACAGACCACATGTGGGGCATGAACCAGACACTCCAGACAGACCCAAGATTACTGACCCAAGTAAAGGAAAAGGAGCTGCTGTTTACCAAGATTGGGTATGGCAGGGCCGGCACCTGTGGCCCGTGCGCCAGATCCAGCCTGCTTTTTGTTTTTGCACAACCTGGAATGAAGGGTGGCTTTTACATATTTTCAGGGTTTGTAAAAATGAAATGAAAAAGAAAAAAGAATATTTGGCAGAAAACAGATGTGTCGCTCAAAGTTGAAAATATTTACAATCTCTTTACAGTTTGGTGACCCCTGGACCATGGGAGACAGGGTCCAGGGAGGCAGATCAGGAGGTCAGTGTTGAGCGCACCATGAGGGGCCGTGCAGACATCCAAGTACAATGGCCAGTGGGCAGTGACAGATGCAGTACTCAGGCTTGGGGAGAGAATTGGGCTGGAAACACAAGTTTGGAAGTCTTCAGTCTAAATGGAGTTTAAAGCTGTAGGATGGGAGAAATCACCAAGGATGGGAGAGATCACCTAGGGTGTGAGAATAGAAAGAAAGGCATCCACAGGCTGAGCCCTGTGGCCTCCGAGATATAGAGATGGGAGAGTGAAGGAGAAACCAGGAGAGGAGACTAAGGAACAGCCAGGAGAGCAGTGGGGGGCAGGTGATGGGGCATACTGCCTGTCATTTGATCCCCAAACCCACTCAGCAAGGGGGTACACTTAACCCCATTTTACTGATAAGGAAAACTGAGGCTCAGAGAAGTAATCTGACCAAAGTCACCCTGCTAGAAAGTGGCAGACAAACTTGCACCCAAGCCTCCCTAGTTCTACCTATTCCATGTGGCCACTCTACAGGACAACCTATTGGATTATTACCGATACAGTAAATACAATTAACGCCAAAGAATTCCAGGCAGCCTTTAAAGCAATGTTGCTTCTAAGTAAAAAGCTAATTCTCTGGTTAAAGGCTGAGAGCCTCAACAAGGCAACCAAGCAATTGGGACAAGCACAGTTCCCCAGCAAACTCAAAGCAGGTCACAGGCACTGTCAAATAGCTCACGAGGTCATCCCCAGTGGTGGAGGGGAAGATATTTTTCATAACTTAACTGGAAAATTCTAAAGTTTATCCAAAGCCACATAATTAAAGGAGAAAAACTCAGTAATGTTCATTAAGAAAAGAAAATAGAATAATATGTGTGTATAACAAAATTATAGTTATTAAAACATATCTTGAAAACTAATGTAATAGAACAAAAATCATTGAAACAAACCAAAATCTCAGAATCAGATCCAATATCTTGGGAAATTCTGGTACTGCAAAATAAAATTGAAAGGATTGATTTCTCTATAAATAAGCTGAGTCAAGTGATAACCATTTGGAAAAATAATAAGATTCCTACCATACACTGTAAACTAAATTTTGAGAATATTAAATTTCATAAATGTTATGAAACCATAAAATAAAACTTGAAAAAAAGTATAAGCATTTCCCCCTAAAATTACAATGGTCTCTTTTAACAAAGAGAAATCATGGAGGATAAAAAACATAAAGGAATATATTGATAACTTTAAATAAGCAATTACTTAGATTCTGTATATAAAAAGATACCATAACAAAATGTGAAGATACCATAACAAAATGGTAAGTTGGGGGAAATATTTGTAAAATATAACAAAGTATACATAAACATCCAAAGGCCTCTTAAAAATCAACAAAATAAAATATGAGCATTACAAAAAGGGATAACAAACTTTTTTCAAAATTTCTATAATAAATAAATTGGGGGGAAATTAAAGACATTTTAAAATATTAAAAAGGAACAGAAAATCTCATAGCTTGAGCAGAGCTATATCACAGATCAGCAGTGGCAGTAGTACAATCAGTCTAGAATTCAGCACTCTACTTACCAAGCCAGCCTTCAAGAAAACGTGATACGACCGTCAGTGTCGAAAGAGAAACACATATAATGAAATATAGCAGCCCTGGGGGAAAAGTGACCATCTCCAATTTAGAAACGACAAAGCTACATTGGCAACTCTTAATTTCCATGCCTTTAGCCTGCCTTAACCCTTTCCTCCTGGAGTCACAGAGCATTATGCTAAAAGAGACCTAGGAAATGTTAAGGTCTCATCTCCTTATTTTGTACTGTGACAAAATTGGGGCCCAAGTAGCAAAGGAAGTTGGCCCACCAAGGCAGGCTACCTGCTCCAGTGGTCTTTGCATTGCACCTGACGACTGATGCCCTTCTTCCCAGATAGCTGAGTGTTGAAAAATAAGACATGACTTTACAAATACCTCATCCTCCCAAAGTATCAGGAAAAAAATGAAGAGAAACAATGCAAGTTTCCAACAGTTTGTTAGAAAATATTTCATAATGTTTGTGAGGCTTCCCTTTTAGGAAGGTGGTGTTACTGCTTTGATCATAAGGACATCTTTGTTCTTCTAAATTCCCTTTCTTGCTGAAGAACTCAGAGAATCACATGTGTTGACAGTCAGGACAGGCTGAAGGAGTCACTGTGGTCCCATGATACGACCCACACTGAGCCTATCCCTGCACGTCCAACATCGGTTGGTCTAGGGTCTGACTGATTAGACAGCGTCCCATCTGCTCCAAGCTTTTCAGTACAGAAGCCAGATCACAGGACCAGGCATGAGCCCACATTACCTTCTCCAGTCCCTGTGAATGCCTTCCCGACCCTTCCACTCTAGACTTCCCTGGCTCTGGGACAACTGCTCTTCATTACTGGAGGACTTGAATGAGTAATGTGTTAGCATGTCAAGAAATGCAATTCTGGCCGGGCACGGTGGCTCATGCCTGTAATCCTAGCACTCTGGGAGGCCGAGGCAGGCAGACTGCTTGAGGTCAGGAGTTCAAAACCAGCCTGAGCAAGAGTGAGATCCTGTCTCTACTATAAATAGAGAGAAATCAATTGGCCAAGTAATATATATATATATACAGAAAAAATTAGCCAGGAATGGTGGCACATGCCTGTAGTCCCAGCTACTCAGGAGGCTGAGGCAGAAGGATTGCTTGAGCCCAGGAGTTTGAGGTTGCTGTGAGCTAGGCTGACACTATGGCACTTACTATAGCCTGGGCAACAAAGCGAGACTCTGTCTCAAAATAAAAAAAAAAAGAAAGAAAGAAATGCAATTCTTGCTTAAATGTTCAGACAGCTGAGAGATCAGTAAGTCTGAGTGTTTGTGGAGGCATAGAATTCATGAACAATGACATGACCCTAATGCTTTCATTATTCAAGTACAACTGCTTTATTGTCATTTTATTTTTAATTTTGATTACAGATTTTTTTAAGAGAACATTGCTTAAGTTTTAATAGTTATGGCTCTGGCTCTGTTTCAGCCTTAGGAAAGCCCTTGATCCTTGATTCTAATGAATCTCAGCCAAGCATTCAGCCTTTCCACTGAGTCCCTCAACCTCAGTCAAATTCTAGCCAAGGATCTGACCAGTGCACACACAACAGGATTGACTCCCAGAACATTCCTAAAATAAAGGTAGGACTTAATACTTTTATCATCCACTAAGTTCTAAACTAAAAATCATTTCTGAAACAACTTTGATTTTTCTAGTAAACTCCAATTTTACATATAATTGTGCTAAAATAACAATATATTTATAAATAAAGTGTATTAATCTTGTTACATGGAGTATTTACAAGTCTCTCACATGATTGGTCTTTTCTAAGTATAATCAAAATTTTGAAAGGTTTTTTATGGTTTAGCTGCCTGTCTTCCCCAAACAAATCTTCCTGCCCTTCCTCTACTCAGCCCATCCAGGTGACCACACCCACACTGTTCTCCCCACCCACCCCGACAGAAACCCTCCTGCTGCGGCTCCCAAACTTCCCTCCATCATGGCACTCACCGTTACCAGGGCCTGCCTGCCCCTCTGTTTCCCCTTCTAGGTTATGAACTCCTTGAAACCTAACCTCCCTCCATGGCTGGCACATACATGTAAGACCTCAATCAATGATGGTTCTTAATGAATGAATGAAAATAGAAAACCACTTACATATATATATACTTCATCTAGGTCAAATCTGTCCAAATACGGTTTGTATTTCAAAACTGAGCCCCATTTTGGACTGAACACAGGAACACTGAGGTAGTTTGGATGATGGGAGCATCCACTTGAAAAATCAGGCCAGGTGTGATGCAGGTTGCCCCTCAAGATCCTTGGGCTCCAGGTGGGGTTGGAGGGATGGAGAGGATTGAAACCCCTGGAACCCAGGACCAAGGCTCCTTGAGGATGCCTCATTCCCTGAAGCAGCTTCCTTCCCCATGCCCCTACACCACACGCATACACACACACACACACACACACACACACACACACACACACACGCATGCTCAGTGTTTATCCAGCACCTGTGGGAAGTCAGGCACCATTCCAGCACTGAGCACAGCATCCTCACTGCTCTCCTTCAGGACACTCATCCTAAAAGACATGTGCTCCTTCCTGCCTGGCTACAGCGACAGTTTCTGCTGGACTTGGAATGCAGCTTCAAACCACACCATTTAGAGGGGGAAAAGCTCACTTTGGAGTCATTTACTCACCGTCAGCAGTGTGAAGGAGCTTGTGACTTTTCAATGTCCCTTTTGATTTGAATTTCTTGCCACACATGTCACATAGGTGGGTTTTCTCGGTGCTGTGACGATTCATGTGAGCCTTGAGGTTACTCTTGCTACGAGTGGCATACTCACACAAAGAACATTTGAAGGGTTTCACACCTGCCAGAGGAAAATATGTACATATATATGCATGTATATGTTTACATGTGTGTGTGAATCCAAGGGACTATGAATGAGTATATTAAAAACACCATTTTGAATAAAGCAGCGCAAATGGTCCGAACAGCCACACACTTCCCTACCCCAGGCTCTTCCTCAAACTGTGCCTTCCAACTGGATCTGCCATGGGCCTCCAGCCTACAGCTTTCTCTGACTTTCCCCAGTAGACTTCCCTCCCTATCAATGTTCCCAATTCCTATAACTCTTTACTAGCTGGAATGTTCACTGCACTTCACAGTGAGTTGTTCACATCTGCCTTTCCCCATGGTTTGGGAACTGTGCAGAGCAGACAATCATTAAGTTTAACTGAACTGAGTTAAACTGAACAAATTAAAGGCACCAAAGGCCTTTACAAAAAAACAGTGGGATCAGGCACCCAGGTTCAGATGTAGAAGCATCTTTTTACTCCATAAAGCAGAGCTTGGTGGTGGGCTGATAACTCAGACTGTAGGGGCATGTTGGCATTCATTGCCTCCTTCATTCAAGCAGTACATACTTAGGACCTACTTTCACAGTGAGCAATGAGAGTTAATCTTGAAACTGAGAAGAGTTAGTCCCTGCCTTCATGGTCCAGTGGGAGATGGAGATCAGTAAGGTCTGTACCACGTGCTACACTGAGCAAAGCTGCAGAAGGCTCAGGACTACCACCACTGCAGAAGAGACGCCCTCACTAACCCCACAAAGGGGAACACAGCACAGCAATGCATCTTTATATGCTTTATAACTGTGTGAATGGTTGAAGTATAGTCAGGTACTATTTGACCAGGTGTTCTTCTAAAGTGTTAAAAGAACTCAAAAATGTGGACCTTGGGAAAATTACTTAACCTCTCTGAGCCTCATTTTCCTTGCTGGCAAAAGGGGATAACAGCACCCACCTCTAAGGCTGTTTAGAGTCCTAATTCAGACAACCTGGGTAAAGTATTGCACATGCTGCCTGGCACCCAGTAAGTGTTCAATAAATGCTGGTAAACATAAAAGTATCTTCCAACCTTGGCATTTGATCTCAACTCCTTCTGCCTTTTTTCCAGGTTCCCACTCTATCTATCAGTTACTAGTCTCTTTTCTGAACAATCACAGTCTCTCCCTTCCTAATAATTTCTTCCCTGGATCCTTTAAGGAGGTCACTGGTACTCCATGTTGTAGAAAATCCTTCATCCTCCATCCCATCCAGTCTTATCTCCTCCCTACAGCATCCCAGTCCCTGACTAGCCGGCAGGGCCCTGATGCAGATGCCTGAAGGGCTTTTCCTAGCCCCTTGGCTCCCAGCCTCTTTCCTGGGAGGGCCATATCCTTTCCTGGGGGAGAAAGCAAAGTTGGCAGCACACTGTCTAACAAAATCTTGACTTCCAACTTCCCAATGTCTGCCAGAGTGGCTCTCCCACACTTTCTCTGCACAGGCAAGCACCCCAAAAGCATAGCCTACATTCTTTCTCTCCACTCAACCCTTCCACCTTCTGAATTCCTTTTCTATGACATGAATAATAATACTCCACACCGCCAGATTTAGAGGACTCTTTGCCGCCCTCCTCGCCTTCATTCATTCATATGTTCACTTCTGGAACACCTGCTCTGCCTAGAGCACCATGGTGGACACCCAAGTTCCTGCCATGAATACAACACTGGTTTTCCTGTTCTCATAGCAGCTGCTTTCTAGAAGGGGAGTCATGGTGATTTATTTCACTACAATTGCAATGTGACCTATGAAGAAGCACATATCTCTACTCATTGCAATTGAAACTAATTAAGTAAAGATTTCGATCACTGATCTTAGCTGGCTGATGGACATACTTCTCAGTGTACTAAAGAAATTCTAACTGCTGGGACATGAAGGTATGGCTTCCTCCTACTATATTAATATTTCCAAAATGAAGCAAGGAGCACAATGGTAAGAGAGTGCTCCATTTGGAAAGATGAACACTCACCTTCATGAGCCCAAATATGACGCTGGAGATCTGAGCCATTCTTCATGAAATAGAAATCACAATATGGGCACTTCATGGCTCTCTTTCCAATTAGCCCTTTCAGCTGAACCCTCCTCCCCAGAACCTCAGAAATGGTGCTCATGGAGACCTCTAGAAGAAAAGCAGATGACAATCAGAAGGAGACAAAGAAATCTGGTGCAGGTCAGATGTAAATAAACTCACCACCAAGCATCACCAAGGGGGTGAATCAAGGTGTGCTTCAGGGTGGCCGGAAGATAGGATTTTTGCCAAAAAAGTTAGAATCAAGTTTTAGACCTAAATACCTGTTAATGTAAAATATGAAGAATGGAGAAACAACATCCTAAGGCAATAACAGACAAATGCAGAAGGCGAAACTGTCCATAGGAAAATAGACTCAGTTTCTCCCACAAATGGATATCATGGGATAAAAGCAGGAGGGGAATCCTAGAGAACACAGGAACTGTAAGGGACATAACCAGTAAATTCAAATGTGTGGCTCATGGTTCAGATAAACCAACTGTGACTGAGACCTCAAGAGTACAGGCATCAAAAACAAAAACAGACAGATGGGACTCAAACTAAAAAGCTGCTACACAGCAAAAGAAATAATCAACAGGGTGAAAAGACAACCTGTAGAATAGAAGAAAATATCTGCAAACTACTCATTTCACAGGAAACTAATACCCAGAATATACCAGGAACTCAAACAACCCAACAATAATCAAAAAAAAAAAGGAGATGAACATTTTTCAAAAGAAGACACACAAATGGCCAAGAGGTATAGGAAAAATATGTTCAATATCAGAGAAATACAAATTGAAACCAAATGAGATATCATCTTACCCCAGTCAGAATGGCTATTATTAAAAAGTTATGGCAAGGATATGCAGAAAAGGCAACACTTATACACTGTTGGTGGGAATGTAAATTAGTACAACCTCAATAGTAAACAGTATGGTGATTTCTCAAAGAACTAAATATAGAACTACCATCTGATCCAGAAATCCCACTACTAGGTATCTACCCAAAGTGTCTGCCCTCTTGGTCCTGCGGTAGGTAGCACTGTAGGTTGAGGGATAAGCCCTGCCTTGGGGACCTCAAGAGGGCAGCCTAGAAAGTCACAGAAACTAGAGCACAGTGGTCAGTCATCATGATGTCAGGAGGACTGGGAGCCACAATCGCCCCCCCAACCCAGGACAGGCTCTGAGGGACAGCGTACAGAATGAACAGGAATCAACCAGGCAGAACAGGAGGGGAAATGTCCAGGGTGGCAAGAGCAGAAGTGGTGAAGCTGGACACCCAGGGAGCTGGTGCCTAGTGCACCTGAGAGGCATGGAAGGTGGGAAGACCCACAGTGACAGTCATTCCAACTCACAAAGGATCCTCAGCCAGTAACTCTTATAAGCCACCACTCCGGGAAACACAGATTTCCAAAGGGCATAAGGCGAGAATTTAAGTCAGGCCTGTGCCGTATGTGACCCATCTACAAGCATTCAAAGGTCCCATAAAAGGGGGAGGGGCGTGGGGATCACTAAGCCTACAGGGGATGAGGGAAGATATATTTGAAGACCAGGAAAATGGACAAAATGAAATAAAAAATTATGTAAACTTCCCAGCTTTAAATAAAGATGACTGTTTCCCTTGAATTTATACATATCTATATCCCTCTTTATTTCCATAATGTGCAGTTAATGTATAAGGCTGTATTTTAAAATAAACATAAGCATTTTAACATTAATCTTCCATTCTAAAATGCATAACCTTACCAGGATGGTTGGTCTTGATATGTGACTTTATCAATCGATCTTCTGAAAAAGACTTTTCACACACAGGACAAGAATAACTCCTTTTGTCCTTAATAGAAAGAGAACATAATCAATCAACTATGTCATTTAAACCTGGGCTCTGTGGAAAAATACCCACCACCATCACCACCACCACCACCACCACCATTATCACCACCAGTGCCAGACTGAACACAGCTAGACAGAGTGCATCCTCCCAAGCCTACCACATATAGCCTCCACCTGGCCCTGCACTGCCTGGGAGCTCCAGAGTAGAGGAAAAGCACCTGCTCCATGCCAGGAGGGCTTAGAGGGGAGAGTCCTGTAAAGGTGGTGAAGGATGGGGCTCAACCTCGAGGCTGCGGGTCTACCACACAGACCAGTGCTGCTCCAGGACCCAACAGCACACTGCATCCCCCAGCACTCAATGCATGGTTTGCATGGGGTTTCATGTAAGTTATTCTGTTAACACTCACAACCACTCACAAAAGACAGGCATTATTCATGCTCATGTTGCAGATTAAGAACCCGAGGCCCAGGATGAGGAGCTCAATGTCTGCGAGGAAGGGCCAGCGCTGGAACTGGAGTGTACAGGGATGCCCACCCAGGACCTCCCACCACTGCAAGACCCACCAAGGCTGCCGTAGGGAGTTCATTCTGCACTGCTGCTAGCTTGACAACCTGGGTGAGCACGGCCTTACATCCTCAGCTGGGGGGAAGTGTTTGTGAATTACCAAGCCAAGGCTTTTGCTCATCTCCCTTTTCTCTCAGAGATTGCCATAGTGCTACTTCACACCACAATTTTCCCCACAGGGTGAGTGCTACGGGTTGAATTGTGCCCCCCGCTCCCCCAAAAAAATCTCATGTTGGAGTCCTAACCTCCAATTCCTCAGAATGTGACCTTATGTGGAAATAGAGTATTTACAGAAATAAACTAGTTAAAATGAGGTCATTAGGGTGGACCCTAATCCAATATGACTGGTATCCCTGTAAAAAGGGGACATTTGGACACAGACACACACAGGGAGAACGCCATGTGAAGATGAAGGCAGAGATAACAGTGACGCATCTATGAGCCAAAGAACGGCAAAGATTGCAGCAAGCCACCAGAAGCCAGAAGAGGCATGGAACAGATTCTCCCACACAGCCCTCAGAAGGAAGCACCCTACTGGCACCTTGATCTAGGATTTCTACTCTTCAGAACCATGAGAAAATAAATATCTGTTTAAGACACCCAGTGTGTGGTATTTTATTACCCAACTTCTTAAGCTCACATTTTATAAGAGCCAAAATCTGGGGGGAAGGACTCTGTGTATCCAGATGAACAAAACCAAAACCAAAATATGCAGGAGTTTTACTGCAAGGAAATGTTTTGAGCCCTGTGTGTTTCGGAGAATGTTAACGCAGCCCCATGCTCACCTGGATTTACAGCAGGACTAATTCCTACCATTTATGGTCACCTACTGTGAGCTCAGCATGGCACCAAGTGCTTTCCAGGCCTTACCTAAATGAACACAATGCTTACAGCCCCCCCACCAGCCAGTCTACTCTTATCTCTGAATAATGCCAATCACAATAGCTACCACTTCTTAAGAATATACTGGATGTGAGATGCTTTACATATCACATCCTGTAAAGCTGCAGTCCCCAACCCCCAGCCACAGACCGACTGGTATCATCATATGGCCTGTTAAGGACCTGGCTGCGCAGCAGAAGGTGAGCAGTGGATGAGGGAATGAAGCTTCATCTGCATTTACAGCCACTCCCCATCATGCACATCAACTGCCTGAGCTCCACCTCCTGTCAGATCAGCGGTGGAATTAGATTCTCATTAGATTCTCAAAATCCTATCAGTGAGTGGTAAGTGACAATTAGGCTACATCTGGTGGCAGGCTTTAATTCAAAATCCAACACTTATTTTAGTCCACACGTGGCCCACCCATTATTTTATTTACTGCTTTTGTCCACACCTTTTCCCTGCACTGCACACTGCACACTTGTCTCAGTCACGGTTTGGGTAAGCCCACAAGCTTACCCTGGCAAAAATGAGTAAAGAACATTGCTAGAGAGTTTCTTTGAAAATGAGGAAAGACCCAAGGATGAAACAGCAGAAGCCTCTAAGACTGCCAACAAAATGAAAGCTGCACTGGAAAGAAAATACTAAGAGTCCTACTTAAATTATGGGATCATGGCAATAGGTGATTCACGTGCTCCAAGCCCACTTTGTATAATATGTGGCAACCGGCTATCCAATGAAGCATGAAACCCTCAAAGCAGCTTCACCACATGGAGACCAAGCACCCTGCATTAAAAGACAAGCCTTTAGAGTTTTTCAAAAGAAAAAAAAACGTGAACACGAAGAACAGAAGCAATGATTGAAGGCCACCATTTCATCAAATGTGTCTGCACTGAGAGCATCATTCATGAGGGCTAACCACATGGCTACGAAACCCTTTACTACTGGCAAAGAGTTGATCCTGCCTGCTGCTAAGGACATTTACCATGAACCTTTAGGAGACGCTGCAGTTCAAATGGTGGTAAAGTCTTCGTCTTTCGGCTAGCACCATAACTAGACAAATTGATAAAATAGCAGAGGGTATTAAGGCACAATCATTAGAGAAGATTAATGTATCACCGTGCTACGCAATCTAGGTTGACGAGCCTACTGATGTTGACAACAAGGCAACAATGCTTGTTTTTGTGTGATATATTTTTCAGGAGGATGTGTTTAAAAACATGTTATGTGCACTATTATTGCTAACCAACACCACAGGTGCAGAACTATTGAAGTCTTGGAATGATTACGTATCAGGAAAACTGAATTGGTCATTTTGTGTCCGTATATGCACAGATAGAGTGGCTGCCGTGACTGGACGACTTTCTGGTTTCAATATTCGGGTCAAGGAGGTCGCTTTTGAATGTGAGTCTATGCACTATGTCATCCATAGAGAAATGCTGGCTAGCCGAAAAATGTCACCTGGACAACGTTTTGCAGGATCAACCACATTAAAGTACACGCCCTAAACTCATATCTGTTCACACAGCTCGGTGAGGAGATGGACGCAGAGCACACATGTCTTCTCTTATACACAGAAGTGAGATTGCTTTCTAAAGATAGATCACTGGTCGGAGTTTTTGAGTTGCAAGAGCCACTCCAGAGATTTCTTTTAGAAGAAGTCACCACTGGTGGCACATTACAGTGACACAGAAGGGGTCTCAAAATTTGCTTACTTGTGTGACATATTCGACCTGCTCAAAGAACTCAATCTGTTACTTCAGGGTAGAAAGACAACCGCGTTCAAGTCAACAGATAAAGTGGCTGCATTCAAAGCCAAACTGGAATTATGGAGGTGACGACTGAACATTGGGGATTTTTGACATGTTTCAAACATTAGCAGAGATTTTGAAAGAGGCTGAACCAGGGCCCACTTTCTCCCAGCTGGTGCATGATCTCCTATCTCAGCTTTCAAAAGAGTTTTAGCATTACTTCCCAACCACAAAAGTCCCCCAAAGTGGGAAAGAATGGATCAGAGATCCATTTGTGAATAAGCCAGGTGAACTGACTTTGTCCGTACTAGAAGAAGACCAACTTCTTGAGATCGCAAATGACAGTGGCCTTTAAAGTATGTCTGAGACAACTTCAAATCTCCATACATTCTGGATTAAAGATGGAATATCCTGAGATTGCCACAAAAGCACTGAAAAGTCTGCTTCCATTTCCAACAACCTGTCTTTGTGAAGCAGGGTCTTCTGCAGGGACAGCAACCAAAACGAGATTACACAGTAGACTGGATGTAAGTAACACACTTCAGGTGTCACTGTCTCCCATCTCCCCCAGATGGGACCATCTAGTTGTAGGAAAACAAGCTCAGGACCCCCACTGATTCTGCATTATGATGAGTAGTATAATCATTTCATTATATTTTACAATGTAATAATAATAAAAATACAGTGCACAATAAATATAATGTGCTTGAATCACTACGAAACCATCCCCCCACCGACCCCCTAGTCCATGGAAAAATTGTCTTCCGTGAAAGTAAAAAGTTGCTAAAAAGGTTGAGGACTCCTGCTGTAAGGCATTTAGGAACTTGCCCAAGGTCACAACACCACAGCAAGCAGAGCTGGACTCCAGAGCTTTTGTTTTTGTGAGATTACAACTAGCAGTACAGGTTCAGGGTTCAAATCCCGGCTCACCACTTATTAGCTGGGGAACTGTAGGCAAGTGATGTGAGCTCTCAGTGTGTCAGTTTCATCAGCTGTAAAAGGGCAATAAAAACTATGCCTTCTTCATGGGGTCACAAGAATAATAAAGGAGATAAAAAACACAGGGTGCTTATAACAGAGCCCGGCCTACGGCGTGTGCTCAACAAACCCGGAAGACTGTGCCACTGTGGCTTTAGTGCTGTCATCATGCAATTCAGCCCGAGGCAGCCAACCATCTCATGGCCTAATGCATCCCGAGAGTCTCCGAGAGGGACCTAATGACCATCCCCCAAACTCCTTTGTGTGCTGTTTATTGCTAGGGTTGTACAACCTCTCCTGAGGTCAGTGTTCCCCAGAGAACACTTAGGGGACTTTGTATTAAAAAACTAAAACAAAACAAGCAGAGTCCCTCTGAACAAGCCAACAGGCTGGATGCACTGCCCACCAAGCGTCTGGATACCAAGCAATGCCTGCCAAGCTTACGTGTCCACGGGTTCAAGGCAGCTCTCGAGAAACCGTCCCAAGCTTGTTGTCTAGCCAATGCCACAGACTCCCACCCCTGGCCACATCACAGGATCAGGGTTTCTCAGGGCACTCCTGTCATCATCGTCCTCTGCCCTTGACCTTGAGAAAGATGCCTGAGCCTGGCGGGCATCCTGGAGGTGGCCTGGCAGGGTCCTCATCATTGGAGTTGATGGAGGCATTCAGAGGGCTGTGAAGAAGTTTACAGTGATCTCCCCTGGGCCTCTGCTATTTGATTTACTTTCTTTTAATCTTTGATAGTCAGAAAGCAATTTATCTCAGAGCTTATCAGGGCCCCTTATTTTTGATGCCTTTGAAGATTGCTGGAAGGACACAGGCGGT